CATGCGTGCCGCCATCTTGGTGACCTTCACGTGGAGCCGGCGGCAGGGCGGGGCGTGTTAAAGCGGCCCGGGCTGACCCCGCGCCCCAAGGTGACCTTCGTAGCGGGCCTGGTACTGAGCTGCGGGAAAGCTGGAGAGGCGTTTCGGGCTTTTCGCTGGTTCTTAGGGTTGTGCAGAGTTTCGCTACTTAGATGATCTTGTAGGCCCTTTCCAACCTTGTAGTTCTGTGTGCAGTTAGTTCTCTCTTATCTGAAGGCTCTGTATGTAACCCCTTTTGTCTGTGGGTAAGATAAGATTTTAATTTCTGAGTTTGTTCAACGTTTTGTCTTTACCAAACTATAAACAAACAACAAGTTGTAGTCTTAAGGCTCAGGGTGACCCAGAGCATTGAGTTCTCTTGTATTACAGCAGGCTTACTGCTTTGATGGACTTATCTCTGTAGGCCATCAGGCTGAGCAGCTCTCTGTGTAATGCTGAGAGCAGACTCAGGCCCAGCTGCAGTGAGGGCCGGCTGAGGCATAGAGCCAAAAGCATATTGGAGAGCAGTGCTGCCTTTTGCTGAGGGTTTGGAGTCAGAGGGTCTTTAAGATCATTTCCAACCTGAGCCCTAATGTGTTCTACGAAATGCGTGTTTTTATTCGCAGGTGCAACATGCAAGTAAGCAAATTGCTGCCGACAAGCAGTACAAGGGTATCATCGATTGTGTAGTGCGCATCCCAAAGGAGCAAGGAGTGCTGTCGTTCTGGCGAGGAAATTTGGCAAATGTCATCAGATACTTCCCAACTCAAGCTCTCAACTTTGCCTTCAAGGATAAGTATAAGCAGGTGTTCCTAGGAGGAGTAGACAAGCACACTCAGTTCTGGAGGTATTTTGCTGGCAACCTGGCTTCTGGTGGTGCAGCTGGAGCCACTTCCCTCTGCTTTGTCTACCCCTTGGATTTTGCAAGAACCCGTTTGGCAGCTGATGTCGGCAAAGCTGGTGCAGACAGAGAATTCTCTGGTCTCGGGGACTGTCTAGTCAAAATTACCAAGTCTGATGGTCTGCGCGGCTTGTATCAAGGGTTCAATGTCTCTGTCCAGGGCATCATCATCTATAGAGCTGCCTACTTTGGAATCTATGATACAGCAAAAGGTAAGGTTTCAGGAGGATATTGATAAACTTGTTTGTTGAACTGTATTGCCTGCTTCTGCCTCTTGTGTGTTGTTTCCTGTTTTTGACTTCTATACTTATGTAAGTGTGGTAGAAGAGGGGTGTCTGTGCCAATAGGAGTGGCACTGCACTGAAAGCAACACTTCACAGGCAAAGCTTCAGCATGCATTGATGGTGCTGGCTGCTTTAGAATTTTCCTATTACGCTTACCTTTAGAACACAGCACTTTTTCCTAATGGAAGTAATGTGTTTTGGTAACAACGTACAAATAGTCAAAAGTTTGTAATTTCTTGCTGAGTATTTGTAGTTCTGTTAGAACAATTCAAGTGTATTTAGCAGAACTTGAGCTGTTCTTCTGTAAAGCACTTGTTTGTTAAGCTTGCCTTCTGGATGTAGAGCTAATTTATCTCTGTGTAGCTTAATAAATTTTATAGGGACTGATATATTTTGATGATGTTTTCTTCTATAAACAAGTAGAGAATAATTAGATCACTTCCTATGCCTGTCTGAAAGTATCTTGGTACCTAAACGTTAAACGTTTCGATTACTGACGACGAAATGATGCATGTTTCCCTATTTATTTCTCTGTTGCTTCAGTATGCTTAATGTGTTTTAAGTGTCTTGTTGCGGCTTAAAGCATTGCTTTACAGTGCTTCGTGGTAGTTTTTTGTGGTAAAGTAGCTGTTGTGCTGAGAACTGGAGGAGGATTTGTAAGCTGAAAAGCTAATGAGCTTCTTTTTTGCAGGCATGCTGCCAGATCCCAGAAATACTCACATTGTTATCAGCTGGATGATTGCACAGACAGTGACTGCTGTGGCTGGTGTGGTTTCCTATCCTTTTGACACAGTGCGGCGTAGGATGATGATGCAGTCAGGACGCAAAGGAGGTAGGCTGTTACCATGTCATTAAGTGCTAACGGTGATCCCTCAGTGCTTACGGTTTCTTGCTGTGTAAATCTGATTCAGCTGTTCTTATGTTCTAGTAGTAGGAGGCAATCTAAGTAGTATAAGGCTTCTAACTTGTGTCTGTGAAGAGTTATGAGGAGGTTTTGGGGTTTTTTTTATGAATTGGGTAAATTGATTGGTTGTTTGTGGTGACAAACTAAGTGAAAGCAAGTAGAGTAGTTGACAGTGTAATTGTTATAAGAGCACTTAATATAACACTCTTATTTTATGACATAACTTTTAATAGCTAGGTAAACAGGCAGGAAATTTTTTTTCTGTTGCCTGAACTGGTAGTGTATTAAAGTGAGAGATGGGGCATAAAGTAGCTGGGGAAGCCGAACAGCTATTTTTAAAGTCACCTGAAATACAGAAGTTAAAAATCCCTGTTTGCTCTTTCTCTACAGCTGATATCATGTACTCTGGAACGATTGACTGCTGGCGGAAGATTGCAAGAGATGAGGGAGGAAAGGCATTCTTCAAGGGTGCATGGTCTAATGTTCTCAGAGGCATGGGGGGTGCTTTCGTGCTCGTGCTGTATGATGAATTCAAGAAAGTCATTTAAACAGCCTAACTAAAATTGGGAATCAAGTTGAGCAGATCATGTAGAATAACTACCATTATGGACCATTGACCTTCAAGAAATTCCTGTGAGTTTTATTTATCGGAGCCAGCTGATACTTGTAGATGGGGCTGGAAACTGACATAGAAGACTGATCCATTTCATGGTAACCTGCATGAAGACACTGAATCTGGCAGTTCAGTGTGATGATTTTTTCAGTGATGAAAAATCAGTGACAGTGGTTCTGGGTCCAAAGTGACTGGGTCCAATTTAGGCAGAAAGAAAAGTATGCCCATGGATCAGTCCTCAGTTTCAAGTCCTATCTTTTAGGACCATAAAATTGTATTTGAAAATACTTGCTAACAAATCATGTTCTTTTCCACTTGTACTGAAGCACTATGTACCATTTTGCACAGCTGAACATCTAGCAATTATGTTCTTAAATTGGGGCATTCTGCTGTAAAACAATAAACATACTTATTCTGTCTGTGTTGAAATTATTACATCAAAGCTTTGGGAAAGCGTCATTTCTTTGAAAACTTGTTTCAGATAATGGTTCCTCTGGTACACTTACGCTGCACTGTAACAGGATGTTTGATTTTTATTTTAGAAAAATTGAATGTGAGAACTTGGAGGAAAAAAGCATGGGTTGTACTCATAGAAACCACTCCCCTTCTTTGTGCCTAATAGTGTATGATGGGCTGCTGCAAGTGGCTTTTTGCATGATTGTTAGAAATTGATTTGCAGCTTTTCATGTGATGTAAAATGAGGGTTTTTCTGTTGTAGTACTACAATTACCCAAAGTTCCAAGTGCAATCAAAAAGTAATGAATGCTTTTTGCTCTTGGCAAAAGTCTTAAAATGGAATCTATTTTTTTAAATCAATATAGGAAGCAACACATGATGTTCATGCAAAAAACCAGGAACCTGGTTAAATGCTTTTAACCTTTGAATGAGTATTGTTGCTGCTATTTGGAAGTGTTGATTATGCCACTTAAGCTTTTATCTCCAGAAGTGGCCAGTAGCGTTGGAAAAAGAATTTAATCTGAAGTTCATTCTAAAAGGTAAAGTGGATATGGGTATGTAACAGGGAATATGTGTGGTTCTGTGTAGCTGTAAAATAAAGGTAAAAGTAAGTCAGCCTTCAATATTGACCAAATGTCTAATTTTAAGGATTGCTTGAAGACTAAAAACATCTCAAAAAGCAGAGAAACTAAATCTGTGCTCTTTATATGTACATAATCTTATTTTTGTACTTCGTAATCTGCAAAGATGTGATAGAGGGACCAGTAAATGAAAACAAGGTGTTCATCTTTCAGTACATTCTTACCACTTGCCCTGTATTTGTGAAAATGTCATTGTAATGAGTCATTGAAGGCTGACTGAGCTATCAGGTTTTTTTGTGTGCCTTCTGAGGTTGCTATTCAAGATGAGATATTTAAATTTACGACATGGCTTTGGCTGGTAATTTGCACCAATGTGATGTTCCATGGCACAAGCACTGCTTTTTAGCATCTTTCTATGAATGTAAGTACATTACATAGCTACTTTGTACACAGGCTAATGGCAAATTTTATGTAACTACTGCAAGTGTTTTTTTTTTTTTTAATCTTGTTTGATAATGGTAGCTCTTTTGTGTGGGCAGGTCACTTGATGCTGTCCTTTCCAATCAAGCTGCTGTTTCAATTGTAATTCTGTTGATTTGAAGGGACAGGGGAATAGTCTGTCTATATAGATATATTTCATAGGTTTATTTTCTACATCAGTGGCTTAAAAAGGTAGGTATATAATGATAGAGTCCCTCATATAACCTTCCTGTGAGTGCATGGTGGTTGAACTTTGTAAGGAAGAAGCAAGCATGACAACTAACTCAAGCAGCCCTTGAAAAGGGGAGACTTTTTTTCACTGTCCCTCCTTCAGTAAAATTAGGTGTTAATCAGGAGAAGTAAGCAAATAAATCAGTGCAAGTGTGGGTTGTTATTTAAATGGAAATGCAACTTACCTCTGCTGTGCATTACAGCATGTACTGCTTGGTGTTTATTTTTCTAGTATGTTGCTTCCCTTAGTCATCCAGCAGCATTTTTCGATGTGATTATGCAGTGTGGGAACATAAGAGGCAAACAATAAATGAGACTTTTAAAAAAAGCATTTGTTTTCTGCCTTATTGAAGCACTTAATTGTTGAAATGTGGTTCTTTTGGAAAATCAGCAGGCAAAGTTTGGAATTTGTTTAACAAAAAAGACTGTATTTTTAATAGCTTTGGAAATGAAACCTGCACACTTGGAAGGAAGTGGACTGGTGTGATGAACTAGGTAAAACCTAGTTTTACAGGCTTAATTCCAAATCTTGTAATTGTTACGCTGGATTTATTGAAGCCTTTAGCTATGCTACTGAAGTTCTTATTGGTATTGCAGAGATGCACATTGCTGTTGGAGATGCTGAGCTCATTACATGACTGACTGGCAGCCTGTCTTAGTTATTTTTAGCAAGATTTTTCCTTTTTTTTTTTTTTTTTGCATAAGGTTCACAGAATATTTTAAAAGTTTGGTATTGGGGTTACAAGGTAGAAGGGCAACTTTTAGCTACTTCCTGCTCCAGAAAATTCTTGGACTATATATATATAAAATGTTAAGATGGGGAAATAGCATTTTGATTTCCTGTAGCACTACTCGTAATTTCAGGAAATAATTTCTTTAGCAATGAACAGAAGAAATTATACCACATTTCTGCTATGTTGTTGATGAAAGGCTTTGTCTTAGATGGTGAGGAGAATCTCAGCAACTTTTAAGCAAATCTTCATGTGTTTTTGGAGCTTGGTTGCCAGGTACTGCTTCTGAACAAACGGAAAAGAAACATTTTTCTGTTTGTCTTGTTGTTTTTTTAATGTGGTGAAATGGTTTCATAGGTGATGTTCATTTCTAGTCCATGCTGTGAAGAACACCGTAAATAATTGGAAATTAGGAGGTTGTGTGATTTTTGTGTTGCATCCAAATCTGTTTTCTTTCTGGAAGATTAGGTCATCTCTTCAATCACAGTTATTTCCTCAGTACAGCTTTTTTGAGATAGAAGCACATTCTCTGTCTAAGAAGAGGGGGGAAAGAATAGCCTTTAATACAATAAGCTACAGGTGTTCACAGAAAGCATTAAAAAATATTACACACACAGTTCCAAAGGCACCCTGGTCTTGCTATTTTGATATGTAAGAAATATTTGTAAAGAAAGGGATAGGCAAGATGACCAAAAATTAAAGAAAGAACACTGAAATAAAGTGGATGATTGTAGGAATACAAATTCTGTAATGAACTGAGTTGGTTGGTAGGATCTGACCCAAATCTCAAAAGGAAAGCAGGTGATACTTTAACATAAGCTTTAAAGAAGCAACTGCAAACTGACTACAGTGCATTCAGGATTATAAATCATGAGATCTTTCAGTGATCAGGGATAAGTCTTGAGAAATGGGACAAACAGTGAAAGGTTGTGAGAGCAAGTGGGGACAAGATGAAATGTAAGCTTCAAGAAGCAGAATCAGCAACGGGATGTGTATATTTCAAAATAGTTCATAAATGTACTGGATTTAAGTAGTAGGAAGGGATAGTCCTGTTATTCAGTGAAGAAACTCCTTGGCTAGCACATTTGAACTTGATACGTTCTGAAGAATTATGGCAGTCAAGTATAAATTGTGTCTGGGAAAGGAGATAAAATTCATTTTTAAGACTAAATTAGACAAGGGAGAGTCAGACAGGTAAGAAGCCTGAAAATAATCTTCACAGCCTTGGTGTTTATGAAATTGGACTTCACTTGAACTTTGGCAGTTATTGCTTGTCAGCTGCTGCCTGCAACTGTGCCCATGTGACAGTTCAAGAACTACATCCACCTGCTTTGTGTATCATAGAATCATGTCATAGGATGGCCTGGGTTGAAAAGGACCATAATGATCATCCAGTTTCAACCCCCCTGCTATGTGCAGGGTCACCAACCAGCAGACCAGGCTGCCCAGAGCCACATCCAGCCTGGCCTTGAATGCCTCCAGGGATGGGGCATCCACAACCTCCTTGGGCAACCTGTTCCAGTGTGTCACCACCCTCTGAGTGAAAAACTTCCTCCTGCTATCTAACCTAAACCTCCCCTGTCTCAGTTTAAGACCATTTCCCCTTGTCCTATCACTATCCATCCATGTAGACAGTCATTCCCCCTCCTGTTTATTGTCTCCTTTCAAGTATTGGAAGGCCACAATGAGGTCTCCCCAGAGCCTTCTCCAAAAATTACCAGGTTCAGTCAATTTTAACTGTAAAATATGGCTACCAATACACAGAAGATAGCTACGAACTCTATACTCAGCAGTCATGTAGGGCACAACAAACTTTGCATGGGACCAAATCAGTTTTTAATGGGCCTAATATGGCTCTCATATTTACACAGCAATTCTTCATGCTTGTAGCTTATGGTAGGTTACAGTTAGCCGATATGATTGAACAGAGGTACGTACCTGGATATCTCCCTCAGCTGGCATATCAAATTTGCCTCTTGGTTGTGGGATAGGAGGAAATATTCTTTTTGAACTGCAACACCTTAGGATAGAAAATGGGACTGTAAATAATGTGCTAGTGATGCAACACAGCAAATTTTGTGTTGAACCTTAAGGGTGTTATTTATTGCCTTATAGATCGCTAAGTGAGAGGAAGGAAAAGGCTTTGAATGTTGACTGAAGGTTAACTATTTTTACACTGCTCCATTGGGTAACTCAGCTTACTTTGTGACTGAAGTTACAATAAATGATTTATTAAACAAGACTTAAAATAACCCACTTGACACAAATATCCTCTACCACTAAACAAGATGTTTGATCAAAGTAAGGACGCATTCATCTGTCTCAATTCCCTGTCGTCTGGTACTGTGTGAAGTCAGTGATTTTAAAATAATGTGAAATCCTTTGAAATAAAAACAAAAAATGTTTTTCTTTAGGATCTGGTGGAATGATTCACTAAGTCTAACAATTTGTTCCCCAAAGTGTGCCACACTGCCATCCAAAACCATACTGCTGGTAATCTTGAATTACATTGATCAGATTGATCAGATTCTTCAAGGTTGCGCAGGTAGGAGGGATGTTTCATCAGAATTCCTACGGTGAGAAGGTTGGTTTACCTCTTGCAAAGGCAATAATGGAGCAGTGTCACTAGGATTGTTCCAAGTGCTGTGAGAAGTAAAATCACAGAAATAAAGTAATCTTTCTCTCCACCTGAAACATACAAGAGAGAAATATCATAGAATCACAGAATCACTAAGGTTGGAGAAGACCTATAAGATCATCCAGTCCAACCATCCACCTATCACCAATGGTTCTCGCTAAACCATATCCCTCAACACAACATCCAAACGTTCCTTGAACACCTCCAGGGAAGGGGATTCCACCACCTCCCTGGGCAGCCCATTCCAGTGCCTGACCACCCTTTCAGAGAAGTAGTATTTCCTAATATCCAGCCTGAATCTTCCCTGGCTCAGCTTGAAACCATTCCCTCTAGTCCTATCAGTGGTCTGCCAGAAAACATTAGCTCCGATTGCTCCTGAACTTCTTGAGTCATCCAAAGGATTTCCACTTGGCATCTTACAGAACTTTGTTCAAAAGTTCAGGTGCATTTAATGTACCTTGGAACATTCTGAATGTTTAAACTGCAAAGAAAAATTAAAAATCCAAACAGTGAGGAGAACCAGAATGAAAAGTTGGGATAGAGGTGGGACTGTTAAAAGAACGTCAAGGAAGATTCAGAAGGAAGAGGAGGAATTTGACCGTGGTGAAGCACTGAACAGGTTGCCCAAGGAGGCTGTGGATGCCCCATCCCTGAAGGCATTCAAGGCCAGGCTAGATGTGGCTCTGGGCAGCCTGGTCTGGTGGTTGGTGACCCTGCACATAGCAGGGGGGTTGAAACTGGATGATCTTTGTGGTCCTTTTCAACCCAGGCCATTCTATGATTCTATGAATTTGAAGATTTAAGGGGACTTTCAGAACTTTCGACAGAAAACAGTTTGGGTGCACCTCAGCTGCTTCCTGTGATCCTGCTGTTTGAGTCACAGCTGCCATCACAAACACAGTTACTCATGGGCCACCAGCATCTGTTGCCATAGGATGTGAGCAATTCATCTACATTAATAATTTCTACCCTGTTCCTTCCATGTCACCGAATGAGAATTAAAATTTTATTCCTATCTGTGAGTGTGAGAGAGAAGAGTTTGCAAACACATTAATACTGAAAAAATCCCCAGACCCTAGATTACAAGAATATTTCACAGTCTTACCAAACTCTACAGGGTCACTCCATTCTCCCCACTTTCTGTTTACAGAACATCTTCTTTTTCCACGTGCTCTGATTCTCAGAATGCTTTTTTTTTCCGGATTGTAACTTTGGTATTCATATTTGTTTTCAGCTACCTACAAAAAAAAAAAAAAAGCTGTGTATCATTCCATCGGCAAATCTGAGTTATAATTTCCTGATACAGGTTCTGTAAATGAAACTTATTTTTGTGACTTTGCAGGTAAAGGGCTAGATGATCTTTCCCCCAGATTTTAAACCCTGGTAACCATTAGTTCATCCGACCACTGACTGTTTTGAAATTTAAAGATATTTTTTGGAATTTGTTGGCACTTAAATTTATTCTGTTAAGGATATCTTGTTTTCTTTGTCATATATATACCCTAAAAAAAGCAGGACAGAAAGCTGAAACTGGAGAAGCAGCCTCCAAGTTTGCAAATCATGCAAAGACTTCCCTAGATGGAGTCTCTTTTTGTCAAATAGAATTGATGCCTTCGAGACAATCCAACACCAGGTATGGATTGTCAGGCCTCATGGTGCTTTATGCAAAGCCTGGAGGCAGTTGAGAATGCTTGCAAGGCCGAAAACTGCCCATTTGCAAGGTTAAGACCGATAGGTTGTGTCAGAGTTCCAGTTTCACTCGTTTTGAAGATTTCGATGTTCCTCCCATCTCTCTGTCCTGAACTACAGTGGTATTTGTCCAGAAAAAGACACAATGAAAAGAATATTTCCAATTTTTATTAAAGAGGGAAAAAAAAGCAACAGCTCTCTTAAAATCTGTTTGTGAAATTAGTGGAAAGTGTGACCTTTTCTGAAATGCAAGGAAAGTTCTCCCTATTCCCATACAAAAGGGAAATATTAAGAAGCTTACACATGATGCTGCCATGGGAAAATATATTCCTAATTTCTTATGTTGATGGAAAAGCTACAGTTCCAGGGACAGCTATATTCTATATTACAGTGATTTACATGATAAACAGGGCAAAAGTACAAATTTGTTGGGATAAGAATACTTACGAGACGATTCTTTTTCTCTTCTGGGATCTCGTCCTGCAAAACAAAGGCAAACTCAATTTTATTTTTTTTTTTTTTTGTTTTCTTGTCAAATAAACATATATTTCCCACTCTATTTTTCTCTGTTTCTCACATATAATTTTAAAGTGAAATACAAATGGAGATTCTATTCCAGTAATATCCCAGAATGTAGTACTTTATTCAGAGCTTTGTCTTCTTCTGTTTCATTTTGGTGAAGTGCTGGAACAGGCTGCCCAGAGAGGCTGTGGATGCCCTGCCCCTGGAGGTGTTCAAGGCCAGATTGGATGGGGCCTTGGGCAGCCTGGTCTAGTATTAAATGGGGAGGTTGGTGGCCCTGCATGTGGCAAAGGAGTTGGAGATTCATGATCCTTGAAGTCCCTTCCAACCCTGGCCATTCTGTGATTCTGTGATTCTGTGATTTTAGAAAAGGAAGAAAATAAATTATGCCAGTGGTTGTGAGCTGTATTTGCCCCTATACAATGCACACTCCCATCCAACAGGTGTATCTCTGAATTATCCAAGAAAAAAAAATCCTCTAAAGTAGCAGTTCTGGAGGCTATAACTTCACACTAGGTTGATAACACAGAGAACAAAACTGATATGAACCACAAATTTATTTTCCTTCTAGTTGAACTCTGATGGACATAAAATCATTAAGGTTGGAAAAGACCTCCGAGATCGTCCAGTCCAACAATCCACCTACCACCAGTATTTCCCCACAAAACCATGTCCCTTAGTACAACAGATAAGGCACATGGGGGATAAGCAGGTTATCCAAGACAGCCAACACGGCTTTATCAAGGGAAGATCATGCCTGACCAATCTGGTGGCCTTCTATGATGGAATGATGGCCTTGGTGGACAAAGGGAAGGTGACCGATGTCATTTACATGGAGTTATACAAGGCCTTTGACATGGTCCCACACCACATCCTTATCTCTAAATTGGAGAGATATGGATTTGAAGGGTAGACTTTTCAGTGGATAAGGAATTGGTTGGATGGTCACAACCAGAGGGTTGTGGTGAATGGCACTATGTCCAGGTGGAGGCCAGTGACAAGTGATGTCGCCCAAGGGTCTGTCTTGGGACCGGTGCTCTTTAACGTTTTCATCAATGACATCAATAACGAGCTTGAGTGCACCCTCTGCAAGTTTGCCAATGACACCAAGCTGAGTGGTGCGGTTGACATGTTATAAGGAAGGGATGCCATTCAGAGAGACCTCGACAAACTCGAAAGGTGGGCCTGTGTGAACCTAATGAGGTTCAACATACCGAAGTGCAAGATTTTGCACTTGGGTCGGAGTAATCCCAGATATGTACATGGACTGGGAGAAGAAATCTTTGAGAGCAGTCCTGCAGAAAAGAAGGACCTGGGGGTCCTGGTGGATGAAAAACTGAACATGAGCCAGCAGTGCGCTCTTGCAGCTGGGAAGGCCAGTGGTATGTGGGGCTCCATCAGAAGAGGAGTGGCCAACAGGTACAGGGAGTTGATTGTCCTTCTCTATTCTGCTCTCATGAGGCCCCATCTGGAGTACTATGTCCAGGTCTGGGGCCCCTACTATAGGAAAGATGTGGAGCTGTTGGAGAGGGTCCAGAGGGCTAAAGAAACTCCCCTATGAAGACAAGCTGAGGAATCTGAGCTTGTTCAGCCTGGAGAAGAGAAGGCTATGGTAAGACCTCATTGCTGCCTTCCAGTATTTAAAAGGAGATTGTATAAGGGAGAGGAATCAACTTTTTACTAGGGTAGATAGTAATAGGACAAGGGGGAATGGTTTTAAGATTAAGGGGGAAAGACTTAGATTGGATGTCAGGGGGAAGTCCTTTACAGATAGAGTGGTGAAGTCCTAGAACTGGCTGCCCAGAGAAGTTGTGGATGCTCCATCCATGGAGGTATTCATGACCAGGTTGGATAGAGCCCTGAGCAACCTGGTCTAGCATTAGATATGGAAGATGGTGACCCTGCCAGGAAGGTTGGAACTTGATGATCCTTGGGGTCCTTCCAACCCAAGCCATTCTGTGATTCTATGATTTTTTGATCTAAACATTCCTTGAATACCTCCAGGGACAGTGACACAGCCCCTTCCCTGGACAGCCTATTCCAGCAGCTGACCACTCTTTTGAAGAAGAAATTTTTCGTAATATCTGAACTGAATCTCCCCTGGCACAACTTTATGCTATGCCCTCTTGTCCTGTTGCTAGTCACCTGGCAGAAGAGTCCAACCCCCACCTTGACATCAGAGTGATTCATATTCAAAATCACTATGAATATTTACTTACACATTCAATGCAATCAAAATTGAATTAACAAGAAAAAAAAAGCATTGACGTGGACTGAAGAACCTGAACATTTTGAAATATTTAAGATGAAAAGCATAAGTGTAAAAATTAGCAAGCAATATCATCAGCAGTGGTTGCAGTAAGGATTCCAGAAAAGATAGGGTCCAGGAAATATTTACATGTAATGTCAGTGGGACAGCTGGCATTATGCAAAAGTAAGGAAAATGTTATTGGAAAGAATGTCCCATTTCAGAAAATAAACCTGTTGTGTATAATGCATTATGAAGATTAGTATTTCCCCATTATTCATTGTCAGATGAGCTTTCTTGATCTAGGACATGGATGGAAGTCATTGGTCTGCTGTGGACAAGGTGGGTGTTACTGAGCTGCCTTCACTTAGCCTTGTAGTGCCCCTTATAGCTGCTGCAAAGTATTTTGCCTGGCCTCAGATGGCCCCTCCAGAATGTGTCTTATCTGCTGTCACCATGTGGGTATCCCTGGTACCTTCATTCACACAGTGCCTGGTTTAATGAGCAGCAGCCCACAGAAGGGAGGTTGGAACTAGGTCATTTTAGAGGTCCATTCCAACCCAAACCATTCTATGAATCTGTGATTCTCTTATTATATGATATATTAGTTTGAAAAAAAGTCAGAAGCAGTGTAAGCTAGAACAGCAAGACTGGAGCAGTAGAACATGCCACAGCTTATCAGATAGAAGTCAATAAACTCAGAACAGAAATTTGCATGTTGTTTAGCTAGATATGGTGCCAAATGCAAACCAGTACACTGTTTTTACCTTATTTTGTATGTTTATTTCATACTCAAAACAGTCTGCATTTTCCACATGACTTAGAAGGGGTTGTTGCCATGTAAATATGCAACCTCCTGGATTGCTAGTACAGTTGGTAGTGACGTTCAATGGAGGAGGGAGTCTTTCTGGAATGAAATGAAATTCATGTAGACATGATCAATAATCCACTACAACTCACATGTTTCTAGAAAATGTATGTGAAGCAGAGGCAACTAATTCAGCTGTATGCTGATGGTAGAAGGAAATGTTATCTATCTGCTAAATACAGGTAAAACACAGTGTGAAAACCAGAGATTATGATGTTACAACTATTGAACATCTGACAAAACTTCTAGATGCCTGAAGGTGTCTCAAATGGCACTAGAGGCATGGTTTTAGGCAACTGGATTCTGCCCCAAATCTCTATCAGAACTTAAACTTGTGGGTACTCACTTATTTAGTTAATACAGTCTTAATTTGCCAGTTGAATCCTCCCTCTGGTTTTAGGGCATGATGCCCTTGCAGCTCTGATAGAGATGTGGAATTGCTGAGGTGGAGAAGTGAGCCCACAGGAAAGCTGCCCTCAAAACATTTTTCACAGTTGTTTCTCACCACTTGAGTCCTAAGGAATTGTTCACATTGTTTCCCAAGCTGCTATTTCAGGCACTCTGCCTTTGTTCATTTTACTTAATTACAGGAATTCTATCTTTTCAGCTATCTGGAGTCAAGTTTGTACTACTGTATAGAGTCCTATAACAGCTGCACAAAGTTGTTTTATACTCTTTCTTTTTTTCCTTCAGAGAAAAATTCCTGGCTTTTTTTTTTTTTTTCTTCTCTTTTTTTCCTTTTGGTACAGCAATAATAAAAGTGTCTACTTACCAATTGTGTATAGTTTTGTATAATTATCATAAAACTGGATCAGGAAGGCTTTGTGGGATCCATTCACCAGGAAATAAGAAGTTTTATCTTTAATTGTCACATTTTGGAATTTACATCCCACATTTCTGTCATCTTCATCTTTAATGTAAAGTTGACATTCTGTCTGGTCATCATCTCTATAGGCAACATAACAGATACATAACAAGGGGTTTTAGTTAAATGTAGGCATAGTGATGTGTTGAGAATTCGGACTACCCAAAACTCAAGAAGACCTACTCACCTTGAATTCTGCCAGTAGAGAAAATATTGGGTATCTCCTGGAGCATTCCTGCCTGCCTGCCAAGTGCAGTTCATGAGGGAAATATTATAAATCACACAGGAGAAGTTCTCAATGGCTGACCCATTAATGCCTGCAAACACAGCAATGTTCATTATGAAGAAAAAGACTGCTCCGTGCTAGAGAATCATGGCAGCAGACATAATCTTTCTGGATTTCAGTAAGTCTTTTGGTACTGTCCCTCATGATATCATTCTGGACTAGTTGTCCAACCATGAGGTAAACAAGTTCATTCTAAACTGGGAGTTGTACTGGCTGAACAGCGGAGTTCAAATGGTTGTATGAATGGGTTACCTCTGGCTGACAGCCATTCATTGGCAGTGGTCCCTCAATTCTAGGGACAGTTCTGTTCAACTTTTTTACCAGTGTTCTGGAAGCTGGAGTGGAAAGTCTCCTTAGCAGATTTGCTCACAATACTGAACTGTGAAGTGCTGCTGACTCCCTGGAGGACAAAAGGCCATGCAGGGGGATCTAGATATGTTGGAGTGTTGGCCAATCATCAGTGGCATGAAGTTCAGTAAAGGTAAATGCTGTGTGCTGCATCTGATTCAGAGCAATGCCAGACACAGGCACAGACTGGGAGAGGAGTGGCTGGAGAGCAGCTCAGCATGAGCCAGCAGCATGCTCTGGCAGCCAAGAGGGTAAACCACACTGTGAGGTACATTAAACACAGCATGGCCAGCTGGTCAAAAGAGGTGATTAACTCTCTGTATTTAGCACTGATGTGGGCTTGTCTCAAATTCTGCCTGCAGTTCTGGGCTCCACAGCGTAATATGGACTTTCAGAAACTTGGAAGTGCCCAGAGGAGGGCACCAAAGCTAAGAAGGTTGACAGCACGTTCTACGAGGAGAGGCTGAGAGTTAGATGTAAAATACTCAGGCAGTGGAATTTGATTTTTGTGGGTCCCTTCCAACGAATCTCTCCTCTCCTCTCCTCTCCTCTCCTCTCCTCTCCTCTCCTCTCCTCTCCTCTCCT